ATATTTTTTACGGGTTTTCTGATGAATTGAACGATGCATACAGTTGCGTTATTTCGATTAGGTGGAGTATCGCTGCGTTTCAATATAAGATGAAACAAATAAGCTTTATCGTTCGATTTTCAAACATTTAACCCCACCCCCTCCCACCAAAGAAATTATTGAAAATACGCCACTGCTGTACAAACACCTCCGCCATATATGCTTTTTATATACATAGATAAAACACCAAGTTTGTAATAATTATTGCCAGGGAAAAGTTATTGTGCGAAATTGTTGAGTTGTTGAGTATTAATATTCCATCGAACTGCGCGTAATAAACAAAACTTATTAATTGACTTTTAAATTGTTTCAATTCGCATTTTATCTATGTTACGAAAGGCGGTGGCTCGTATCCACGCATCGCCTTATTAAACACTCAAAACTTTTCAACGGTTGTGTTTATTTTGATTTATATTGATAGTAAAATAACGGATGCGAGTTTTCCCGAAAATAACACGCAGCAGCGTTCAACTACAAGACGTCCTCGGGCAGTCGTCCAACACAATTTATGTTCAATACGCCAATAATAACGATGTCGTATAAGATGTTCGACGAGGGACTTAATTTTTAACGATTTTTTTTGCATTCCTAGAAAAAAATTGGTGCTCGGTTGGGTTTGGTTTTAAGAGGATGTCAGCGCACTGTTTGTTTTCTCTCTTTGGCCAACCACGCTCATTTACAAAAAACCGACAAAACGCATTTACGCAAAACCATTAATTTTTATATGTTTTTAAGTAATGTTAGAGTAAAATGCTGTTTAAATTGTTTTTATACAATATTTAGACAAATCGATATGTCATTTCCTCAAAAATATTGTTCTATATCTTTTTTGTAATGGGAGATTTTACTCTAACATTACTTAAAAACATAGAAAAATTAATGGTTTTGTATGAATGAGTTTTGTCTATGTTGAGAGCGTAGGCAAGAAAGAGAAAACAAATAGTGGGCTGACATTCTCTTTATAATACAGGAATCACGTCTTCACAGTTGTAGTTGAGTTTCAAATGATTTTGAAGACGAGTAAAAAAAATACATAACTTCGATTAATAATTATTATCAAGAGGTAGTTAATAATAATTTTTTTTTTTTACTGTCTTATTCAATCTGTTGCAGAAAAAAATAATGGAAACAACTGAGGAAGTAATAGATAGGTAACAATAATTATTATTGAAAATGATGTTTAGGAAATCTAAAATTGATCATGCATATAAATAGCTAAAAAATGTCAAATCATTTTTTTTTCAGCTATTATATTGTATGACAAATTAATGTTTTTACAAACATTTGGTCAAGTGTTTACAGTTACCTATTCGTAATTCATTTATGAATTAAGGGAATTATAACCTCACTAAGGTTATAATTTAAGGAGCAACATTTATGCAATTTTTAATCTCGCCTTAGATGACCGACATCTTAGTATTATTATAGTTGTAAACTAGTAATAGTGAAATTCAATGTGAGTACAACTCTCGTACGCGCATGCCCGTGTCAATAACTTGATAACGATGATAAGATTCACCATACGATTTTGACGACAACTCACCTCTATTGTTTAGACAAAACTAAAGTTTGTTAACGTTTGTTGATTTTTAAACTGAAAAAAACGATTAAATTCCGTAGAAAAAAGCCTCTAGTACGCACAATATATTTTCTATTTTTAAATTAATTTTTTTTTTTGAAAAACTTCGTATTTTCAATTATTACATTTCAGTATTTCACGATGAAATTAGATTTAATTTTTACACTGTGTTTCGTACGATATGTAAACCATTTTTTGTCGAGATCAAATTTTGCTTCAGGATAGAAATCGGACAATGTTAAGTAACTTTAAAATTTTGTCAGAACTAAACTTAGGAAGAAAATAAAAAATCAATTTTGTCAAAAACTGAGTTTAGGTACAAATTATCTTTTTTTTTCAATTTTTTTGTTTTCATAATTTTAAGAAAAAACCTAGTACTTACTGAAAATATTTTACTTTAGACCATTAATCATAGTACTGAATTCATTTACATATTAATTTTTAAAATAAAATAAATTTAAAACATCAATATAATATAATATATTATCATATATATTAAACTATTAATATTATTACATAAGATCACACCACCTCACATGTTTTTATAAATTATATATTTTTACAAAAATTATTACTATCGTATAATGTTATACCAAAACATTTCTGCATAATCATTTAGTGTATTAATTATCAATCATTTTATTTATGTAATTTTGTATACAGAGTGATTCATTAACGACGCCAACTATGTTCTACCGTTATAAAACTTAATGATTAATTTATTCAAATATTCTATGATATTTATTCTTTAAGTGCTATACTTAAAAATTTCAAAAACAGAACTTGAACTAATACATTCCTACTTATTATCATTATTATGTTTAATATAGTTAATGTTTTATCCTTCGTGTAGAATCTAAATAAAAAAAATGTTCTAAATAATATAAAAAACAAAAAAGTGCCATGGAGGTTTGTGCTAACAAAATTAATTTATATGAGCACATTTTACGACTGAATAAATAGTATGAATATCTAAGTTTTTGAGTATTTGACATTTAAATATATATAGGAATTTGAAAATGATGTGGTGAGGTGAACATGATTAGTACCCTTGCTAAAAATATCAAAAATTAAATTAAATTATAGTAACATGTTTAATGAATAATAAACAATAATAAAAATATATTTTATTTTAAATTTTAGCTGAGCATTTTTTCCAGGACAGATTCAAATATTGTGCAATATTCAAAAGCATTCTAAATCAAAAAAATAACAGTAATTAAAAAAAACCAACTATCCTACAATGTGAGAGAGTTTTTACTGTAAAATCTGTTTATTTACTAAAAAACAGGTAAGCCCATAACCAAATTTGAAAAATACGAAATATTATAGAATACTCTAAAAACTATTTTGTAGAGTTAAATAAATTGAATAATGTTGTGGTCATTGTAATAATAATATGATATAGTAAAAATTGATTATTATAACATCGTCCGACATACGATATCAGTTAAACAAATCACTTTTATGAGTTCTAATCACGCCACAATAAGCCACATCGTTATTAACGCTGTATAAAAGGACGGACTGATGCTTCATTCTGGCATACATTTTCGTGCAATTATAAACTTCTGTGAGTATCTAACGGAAAATAATAGTTTTTTTTTTTACTTAATTTAAATTATTCATACCTATAATATATTTTTTTGTCTACCTCCAGATTTCACTCTAATCCTCAAAAAACCAACCAAAAATCAAAAATGGGTGCCGAAAAAGTAACCATGAACATCGTCGTCGTCGGACAAGTCCAATCTGCCAAGGCCATCAAATCGGTCGCCAAAGTCACCCCAGCCACCAGCCAATTGATGGTGAGTTAATAATTATGTAGTTTTTTTTTCATTTCAAATGGTGTTTTTCCAACTCGTATTCGACGTTTTGTTGCAATTTTCCTTTCTTTAAGTATGCATACGAAGGCAGGTATATCTATTTAATTTTTTATAAGTAGATAAATTAAAAAATGAATGAACGTTCAATATTTGTCATTTAGCATTTACATTACAAATATTTAAATTTAACTATTTTATTACGATTAAATTTTTATAATATTTTATTATTACATTGTTCGCCAAATTAAATTAGGATTGATTTCAAATAAATAACCAAGTATATGAATAATTATTAAAAAAACCATTTTTGTTTCGTTAGTACCACTAAAAAAATCAATTTAATAATGATTTTGTTGTAATTAAAAATAACAGTGTACTCTTGTATTTTAATATAGAAACTTTATTGTTGAATAATTGTTCGACAAAAGTTTAATTAAATATTAATAATTTTTATTCAATTTGTAATCATATAACATACAAAATTACTTTGATGCAATTTTTGAAAATGTCTAGAACATTCTTTGTAAATGGTCAAAGTTTACATTTATGTTGTTTAATCAATTTTAAAATTTGTTCTACTGTAGTCTTACTACAGGTTAATAGCACTAACTTTTTACTTAAAACGTCAAATTCGTGTCTGCATATTGTTAGAGATAATGAGGTATATTAAACTTCGATCATTCCTTATAATATATTATTTAATTTATCTATATTATATTTTATTGTATTAATCGACTATTTTTTGTTTTTATCGTTAAGTTCACATTATTTTACATCTAAAACACGTATTTTCAATACATTATGTTACTATTTTTTGTTTTTTTCCAGAACTGTTAATTCATGAATTTCACATCAATCTCAAACTCAAAAATGCCGTAGCCCAAACAGTACATAATTTATAATGTGTTTCTAATTATGAAATTATGTATTGACATTGCAAAATAAATCAGTCGCTTCCGTCTAATAACTTGTCTATGATTTATTATTTTAATCCTAAGTTTTTATCATCCTTCATGTCTCTGTTTTAATTTAAATGGAATTTCAGAGTTATAATAGAGTTCTGTTATTTGTTATACTTATTTTAAAATTGCTATATATGTACATATGTACATATGTAATTATTATTGCATAATTTAATTACTATGTTATAGCACCTACTTAGCAATATTAAGTAGATATTTTTAACCAGATTATGGTTTAAGAAGGTATTTTTTGATAATTTTAAGAAATTTAAATCCGGACATTGAACACATAATAAATGAATAGGCAATATTATTTAGTATTGATTATAAATAATAGTGTTTATAATCAATAGAAGTACCCTATTAGATAAATACAAATTTTCGTTCATTAGTTTAAAAATATTAAATGTAAAAAAGCAATACTTTTGTGTAAGCATTTATTATTTAACGCCAAAAATGATCAAATTTAAAATTGAGAATCATTTAGTATTTAACAATTTATAAAATATACAATTGTTATGGATACAGATTGAAAATTCAAAACAATGATTATCATAAATAATTCATTATTAATTATTCAATAATTAAAAAAAAATATGTAACAGAACTTTTAAAAAGATATTTTGAGTTTGGTTTTGGACGAAATCAAATATTTGTTATTTATTTAAAAAAATAACAACGATTTTGGTTATTTTGTTTTGTAATTTTAAAACATTATTCGTGTTTACTTGAAACTTTTAATGTATATTATTATATTTTATACACAGAATGAGATTTTCAAACTGAAATCTTTTCGGCAAAACTGTATTTAACCTATACTGATACTTAATTGATAAAAAAAAAAAATTTATTGAATAACAACACCATTAAATACACTATTAAATTTTATGCTTACTGACAGTTTTCACTAAAAATCTTCTTTTTATACTCAGTGATCTAACTTCATTGAATTCAAATTCAACATGTTCATTACAGTGGTTACTTAAGATACCTATCGTACAGCAGCACATACCCACTTTTTTAGTGGATGTGTTTGCGAAAAAAATAGGTGTAAGAGAAAGGCCTAGATCTTATATATACCTTTCCTAATCTGACCTAACCTATGATACTAATTAAACTTATGTCAAAAATTATGAAAATTATGTGAATCAAAATTAATTTGAAAAATACGTACCTATGTTAGAAAATTCACAAAATGTAATTTTGAATAAAGTTATTAATTTTGTCAGATCTTTCTGTTTCATACTTAAATCACGTATATTTGGATTGATAAAAAATATTAAGCTCGTTTTATCATATTGTAGAGATTCCTATGCTAAGATTTATAAATACACAATTACCGAGTAAAAAAACTAAAATTTAGTGTTAATTATTATTGTGACACAGATTCCAATGCTAATAAGTTAAATAATTTTGGTGCTCTAGACAAGAGTAATGCATTACAAGTGTAGATACATACAATTCTCTTCAGAACAATACAATATATCATAACAATAATTGTCATACATTAATTTAAGAATATATTATTACAATTTTAATATTTCTTTCTTAAATGCTTTAAACGGATATGAATATATAATGTTATTTCATATAAATCATTTGCTGATAGAATATTTATTTATTTATTTTTTTTTTATGTATTATATCCAGTATTCATTGTTAATTAATTCAGTAGTAATTTTCTGTATAATTGTGGATTAATATAATTTAGTATTATAAAATGCATTTATCACTTAAAATAAATAGTAACAATATGGCATTTTTGTTTATTATTTTTTTTTTTTTTTATAATCCAACTATAATAAAACCATTTTTTAAATTAATTTAATTCCTTATTTTGTGTACACTAATTATTGCAATCTTATAATATTTATTTGAAAGAAAAAATAATCTAGATTGGTTTTATTATTAAAAACATTTATTTTTTTTTAAATTCAAAAATATTGTTGGTAGACATATTGTACCCAATAGCCCCATCATGCATGTTATGAGGAACGAATATTTTAATACGTTTTATTCTAAATCATTACTTATGTTATAATCAATCTTAATCAAAAAAAAATTAATTTTATTCTATGCAAATATTATTGCAAATTAATGCTTTGTAAATAAGTCAAAAAATGAAATTATTACGTTTTATCTCACTTGACTATTTTAGTTTTGTTCTATAAAAATTAATAACATCTAACCATTATATTCATTGTAATACATATAAATCATATAATAATGTATTAATTAATATCACAATATTCAGATTGTTGAATCTAGTCGATACGCTCAACAAGTATTCACCAAGGTCAATGACCAAATCAACAAACAATAGATTAATCCTTAAGATTAAAATGTCAACATTTTTGTTGGACATACTTAAGTCGAACCATTAAAGATTAAAAACATATACCATCAATCTATATAATTTTTTTTTAAATAGGTATTTTTAATTAATTATGTTACTTATGACAACACCTTGTGGTTAAAAAACCAAGGATTTGTATTTTGGACTATGGAACAGGAAAAATAAAAATAAAAATAAAACACATCGAACAGTCAAGTTTATCGGAAATTACTGGTTTATTTTGCGGTGTCAATACTTATTATATGAATTACATATTATTGTACTGTCTGGGCTATGGCATTTTTGAGTTTTGGAAGGTATTGACTACATGAATTAACAGTTCTGAAACAAAACAAAAAATAAAAATAAATATAATTGATAATTAATTGAATTTGTATTCAAACATTTCAAACAGCTATTGCTATGTTTTAAAGTGCAATAATATTAATAATTGAAAAAAACATGAAATAAAACAAAAAAAAAGTAATTAGTCAATTAAATATGTTATCATTGATTTAACATTTATTTAGAAACAATAAATTTAAATATATTATTTTTACTCGCATTATTCAAAAAAAAAAAAATTATTCAATTTGGCATCAAACATAAATATCTACTTAAAATAACATATATAACCAAAAGTTTTACGTTAGGTATCAAAGTTGAATTAATTAATAAAATACAAAATGTTTGTATAAAGAAGGTTATTAAATGTTTGTGTTTTTGCTTTCATTTAAATGTGATTTGTTTTAGTATAATCATAACATAACTATAAACAACTTGAAAGTATTTCCAATATTTAAAGTCATCAAAATCAATTGAAAAAATGTTAATGTTTATAGTATAGAAAAGATTGTAGTGACTATATTCCCAAACATATAAATTAGCAATTAAAATGTATTTAAAAATTTTACCAAGAGTTGTATATGTGTCATGTACTCACCATCAATTGGCTGGTGGCTGGCGTGGCTTTGGCGACCGATTTGATGGCCTTGGCAGATTGGACTTGTCCAACGACGACGATGTTCATGGTTACTTTTTCAGCGCCCATTTTTGATTTTTGGTTGGTTTTGTGGATTTAAGTGAAAACTGAAAGCAGAAAAAAAATTGATATTAATATTTTGAAATTAAAATAAAACTCGTATCATCGTTTCGTACTCACCAAAGAGTATATCTGCACAAAAGATTGTGTTATGCTTGAATTAAGTTCACAGACGCCTTTATATACTCTCTTGTTGACTGAACAATACTTACTTATTCGGTGGGAGACGGTGGCGTGATCGATCATTGTAATTGATATTGCGACGACTGCATTTTATCTACAAATTGTGATGCACTGGCTGTGCATATAATGTACGTGAATAAAATAAAACAATTTGTTTGATTATTTAATTCAATTCACCGAGTGATTAAATGGAAATATGGGACATAAACAATAATAATAATAGTAACAACATTATGGTTTATAATAATATAACTCAAGTTTCTTGTATGTTTATATTTTGATGGATTTTTGGTGTAGTCGGCCATTATTAGGTGTTAGTTTAGTGGATAATTTTTTAAGTAAAACTATATTTCAAAATTTTAACCATAGTTATAGCCGAGGACCTACTGAGGTACCGTTTAAAATGAATTTGTTATTTTCGAAATGTCGATGGGAATTCTTATTTATAGATCCCGCAACAACTTTTAGTATTACAGTGGGCTCGGAATTTCGATTTGAGGACCTTATTGTAGTCAGGTTTGGGCAGTATCTTCGACACAATTATATGAAATATCGAGTATCTTGTATCGCGATACTTCAAAGCAATGTATCTCGTATCTAGTATCTCCATACTGATTTTTTAGTATCTTGCCCTTGGAAATTATTTTTCAGTGCCAATAAATCATAAAGTTATAAACTATTATTTATTATGTATTAGGATTTAGGGCATTATGCTATTACTAAAATTATTTTTATTATGTATTTATATAATTTTTAATGTGTAGAATTATTATTGATATAATTATTATTATTTAATTGTTCTGTAATTGTATTGTGGTTATTATTGCATCGTCGACGAGATTACGTTACGTCGTAATTGATTTGTTTTATTTATTACTGAATAAGTGTGAATTTTTATTATTTTAATTGCCATATTTAACGAAGGTGGTCGTMCCCATAATAATAAACATATTTATTTTTAAAAAACCAGTGACTAATTTTATTAAAATGTATCGAGTATTTATTAGTATGGCGATACTCCAAAGCAATGTATCTTGTATCTATAATATCTCGATACTGATTTTTGTGTATCTTGCCCAACCCTGATTGTAGTTATCTTTATGATTCTCTTTGATCGCGTTGTAAATACAAATAGACATACAAACACACACACACACACACACACACACACACACACACACATTTTCGAGATAATCGTAATATTATTATCTATAATATACTGTAGCACATTAATCGCACAGTAATCGATCGGAAGGTGTTGACAATCAATGGGAGCATACTACTTGCGTCCGAAATTATTATCAGTAGGTGAGTTGCGTCCCGCAAAAAAAGATTCAAAAAGGTCATAGCGTATTTGCGTCCCGGTATACCTTTTTCTATGACCTAATTGCGTCCCGAAAATATCGATATAATCGATATAAAAATGTATATTGATGATGCAAATTTAATACACATAAAAATGGTTATAATGAATTATCAGTTCAATTCAATTGCAATAATAATAATATAAAAATTCATGTTATACATTTTATCATAATAAATATAGTATAATATAATAACAAATAATAAAAAAAATGCATGTTAAACATTTTTTCATCAAAATAATAGTAATAAAAATACAAATATAAGTACAATTTATGAACTATTGATTTTAGTGACACGATACTATCGATTTTAATGATTTTTGAAGATAATTTCGATGATAATAATGTGGCTGACTTGCGTCCCCCAAAACGGGGCGCAACTTACCGGTCAAATTTACTACCTGAAAAATATATTTTTTTTTTTGGGGGACACAAGTAACATGCAGCCGAATCAATGCAGTTGTTACGACCTCGACATCGCCCGGCCTACGAAAATGTGTGTGTTCACGAATCACCGCTAAGCGATCTATCGGTCAACGGGCAATATAGCCAACGACGACCACTTGTTACGATCACGCCACCACGCGGCTCCACATTATGCGAAAATCGCCAGTGTATAAAACAGCGTGCCGGTGCTTCGTTTCGACATAACGCAAGTTTCGTGCAAATCTAATATTCGGTGAGTATAATACGTATTGAGTCTACCTATACACAACAATAACTATGCCCGACGGACAATTCTTCGGTTTTTGCGATTTTTTTTCTTCAATTACATGCGTGTGTGTGTGTTTTTTTGTTTTTGCAGATTTCGCTATAATCCTCTCACAAATAAAACCAACCAAAAACCAAAAATGGGTGCCGAAAAAGTGACCATGAACATCGTCGTCGTCGGACAAGTCCAATCTGCCAAGGCCATCAAATCGGTCGCCAAAGCCGCCCCAGCCACCAGCCAATTGATGGTGAGTTCGTAAATCACGTAATATTTGGTGAATATAGAATTTCGATTAAGTAATACGATGGATGCTTATTATTTTTTTTCAAATTCGAATCGTCATAGATTTATATCTAACATATTTTCGTGTTCGCAATAATTATAATATCTGTCGTCCAGATATTTTTGTTTAATTTCAGAAAAATTTGTCGTTTACCGTAAAAATATGTGTTTTTCAAATATTATCAGTATCACATTTTTCGTAAGACAACAATGTGTTAATCGATTTTATGTTTGTATTTTGTAATCATAATGAATCGCTAAATTAAATATTTATTCCTCTCGCGGAATTCTCGAAATTGTCCAGAACATACTTGTCTGTATGAACTATATGGGAAATTAATTTTTTTGTCATACTACAGTGTTTATAATAGTGCCTACCAATTAATTAAAAAAAAAAAATGTATTTCGACTTATGGCTTCATTCAAAATCAATCAATCTTATTATATTTTGTTCTATCTAGATTCATTACTTTTTTTTTTTTGTATAATATATACGGTGTAATTGTATTAATCGGTCATTTGTTTTTTTTTTTTTCAGAACTGTTAATTTATGAGGTCCACATCAATCTCAAACTCAAAAATGCCATAGCCCAAACAGTACATAATTTTATAATTTGTTCTTAATTATGATGTTGTGTATTGCCATTGTAAAATAAATCATTCACTACAGTCGATTAACATGTCTATTGTTTATTTGTGTGTTTCTAAACTATATAATATTGTCATAACAATTTATAAGTCGATTATAGTGTGCCAAAAAAACTATCTTATAATAATAACCCATATGTTATCGGTATAGTTATATACATATTTTTATTTCGCTTTAATTGAAAGTATATACCAACCGTTGTAATATGATACGCTTAAACATGGTATATTAACAAGAAAATGGTTTCGATGTTTCGACTATACTGTTGGAAAATTGTGTGTTTTCGTCCCAAATATTGAATTTATTAGAGACGTATTCATTGGAATAATGGTAAATTATAACAGTAGGTAGGTACAAGGATTCGTTATAGTAACATATTATTACTATTTATTATTCCAAATGACTATTGTTTACGTTAGTTTCTTATAGTTATGTCTAGGTACATATTTTTTCATTCAACAGATAATAATAAATAATAATAATTGTAATTAAATGCAAAAAAAAAAAAAAAAATAGAACAAATATTTTAATAAAAAATTATCTCATAAGACAGCAGTAAACTCGTCATATATAACAATATTGCAAGCGATGTTAGTCTATATAAGTGCATATTTTTGTTTTTCATATTATATTCATTAGACCTACCAAAAACATTATAAACGTTGTTATACCTGATATTTAGATTTTAATTCTAAATTTGAAGTCACGTATTACTTTAAAAGAAACTAATTATTGTTTAGGGAAACGCATATTAGTTAAAAATGTTATGATTGAAGTTAAGTACGAATTTATATTGTGATTTTTATTACGACAACACAAGTTCAATGATTTGTCCATGTATTATTAAGCTGATGACTAAATAAATTATCAACAATTAATCGCGAATAGCTACCTACTCGTGTAAAATATGCACAATATACAGCCCAGATTTAAAAGCAACTTGCGTTTCCGTTAAATTTAGATCAGTGATACTCCCGCGTATACATATAGTTTGATTTATTTTCGCTTTTTAGTGAATGTTTTAGATAACAATTTATACTTAAACAAGTAGTATATATTTGTATGTTCACAGCCAGCTTTTCCACGGTAAAAATTTGTTTTCAAGGGGAAAATTCTCGCTTGGAGCACATTGATTTACCGCGTAACACAATACGGTGATTACACAAGATTGTCCACCTATTTGCCCCTTACACAAAAATATTTACCGTATCAACTATTTTTTCCCTTTTTTT